GGCTTAAGCTCATACTGGACAGTACTCTATGATTCATCTGTGTGTGGCCCCTAAAAGACAAACTATTCTGTATGCAAACTATCTTGTAGACAGGACAGCAATAAACAGCAGGTAAAAAAGAGTGGATATCCACACTATGCTGTTAAAAAAAACAAACCAAAAAAAGCACCCGATATTATGCATCCACAGCAAAGTCTTTTTGGGGGTCATAGTCTTCTTCGGGTTGTACGAGCATGATCTTGGAGAAACATCAACTAATGCTGCAGACCCATCGCTGGTGCTAACCTGTGCATTATTTCCCTACCGTACGTTAGCTCAACACTCACTTCTTTTTGTAGGTTTTTTCATAAGTAGGATGCACCACATCTTCATCTTCGGGTTCTTCTGGAACATCACAATTTCTAGTCAGAAAAATCACATGGGAATAACACGTCACCAGCGCCTATTCATACATCTTGAACAGTACTTTCTGCCTTTCCAAAAAGGGTACTACCAACTATATGGTACCTGAACTGTGGGTCAGGGTTATTGGAGCAATACCATTTTTCTGGAAGTTGATCTATTCCATCTGGTAATTTTCGCCACTTTAGACAGGAATCACATTGAACCCATGTCTGATCAGGACGCTTCCTGTAACAAAACATAATATTAGCATGAAAATATGGATGCTAAGTATACTTCATTAGGTCTTCTACATCATTTCCACAGCAAAATGTCTTGATTATTTAATTTGTCCCCGAAATGTCCATGACATAATTCTTGTCATACAGCAAATTAAAATTTTTAAGCCAACAATTTTTGTTACCTTCAAAAGATTAAAGCTAACAGGTCAATTTCAACAGACTGGGGCACCTGCATGGCTCAGTCAGTTGAGCACTCAACTTTGGCGCAGGTCATGACTTCATGGCTCGTGAGTCTGAGCCCTGCACCAGGCTCTCTGCTGTCAGCATACAGCCTGCTTTGGATCGCTTTGGATCCTCTGTCTCCCCCTCTCTCTCTGCCCCTCCTCCGCTAGCCAGCACACAAGGTGCACGCGCACACACATACATATACGCTCTCTTTCTCTTAAAAACAAACGATTAAAAAAAAAAGAGAGACTTAAATGTCCTACTTAAGAGCATACTATTCAATTTGTTCTCTGATAATAAAAACTCAAAATATTGCAAACACCTTGTTTTGAAATTTATATTAAGTTAGCAATTGCAATGTCCAATCTAGTATATTAATTAGCACAACAAAACACTGAAGTACAGAAAACAGACAAGCTATTACTACAACTTAAGCAATTTTTAATAACTGTATTACATTTTTAGCCCCTACTATAGCATATCTCTGAATATCTACGTGCATATTCTTTTACTTTATAAAGTGCTTCATAGTTTTATCATTTGAAAATTGCAATGATCCTATGAATAATGTAGGTATTCATTTAACATTTAACAATTATTTATTAACAATTCATTTAATCTATGAAGACTGGGGCACCTGGGTGGCTCAGTCTGGTTAAACATCTGACTCTTGATTTTGGCTCGGGTCGTGATCTCACGATTTATGGGTTCAAGCCCCAACTCAGACTCTGTGCTATCAGCAGGGAGCCTGCTTGGGATCCTCTCTCCTCTGCTCCTCTCCCACTTGTACTCTCTAATAAATAAACATCTAAAAAATAGTATTTTTTAAATAAAAAAAAATGAAGACTTCACCTTAATGCCAATAACTTTTTATTTTTATTTTAAGTATTCTTTACTTAAGTAATCTCTACACCCCACGTGGGGCTTGAACTCACAACCCCGAGACCAGGAGTTGCATACCCTTCTGACTGAGTCAGCCAGGTGCCCCTCTACCAACACTTTTTAAATCTAGTTTTTTAAAAATGCATTTATAGTTAGATAAACTTCAAATAATCTAGAAGTTTATAAAGTAAATACAAGTCTCTTATTTTAGGAACCTACCATTGTTCATTTTTTTAAACCCTGGCAGAATTTTCTATGCTTAAAAAACTAAAAAAAATAAAACAGGAAATTAATACACTGAATTGCATCTTTTTGTTCTTCATTACACATCTTGGTCATCTTTCCATCAGTACACAGTTTTAGTCATAAATAGAGCTGGTACTGTGTGCTACCAGCTTGTGTGGCATATTTTTAAGTCTTATAACTCTAGGAGATGAGTGTTACTAAAATGTTCCCATTTTATAAGTGAAAAAGTAAACTTGTAAGAGGCCAAGTAATATGTTCAATGTTGCATCATTATTTAAGCAGAATTACAATCGAAATTCAGGTCTGCTTTAGACTCATGATCCTATTACACAAGACGAAGGTTTTTCAAACGATGAGTACAACCCATTAGTGGATCATGAAATCAATATAGTGGGGCAAGACTTGCATTTTTAAAATAAGTATCGGCATGTAACATTTGGGTAAACACTATTTCATGCATCTTTTGCGTGCATGATGTATAAATGTATATATTCATTGGTTCATTTCATGGTGTGCTGACTGGAGCTGTAGAACTTACATCTGACTATGGGTTAGTCAAAAGTTTGTGAACACTGTACAATCACTATACCCTCCCCATATCACATCTTGATATTAGAATGGTTGACATTTTTTCATGTACGTACTGAATATCTTCAACTGGCAAATTTAGAGGATATTCTGAATTTTTCTTGACTTTCATTTCATTCCAGTAATCATTCAGCTTTTCTCCTAGTGCTGCTATTGTCAGCCTTAAGAAAGAAAATCATAAAATCAATTTAAGAAAACAAACAAACAAAAAAAAGATTACATTTATGTCAAATACAGAGAAAGCACAAACAACCTAGTAATGATTGTGTGGATATTATGGGGGAGAAGGGATGGTGACTCCCAAAGGTACAGTGAATAAAGAAGGCTCTTGTGGCAATTTTCTTTAAGGACATTAAGAAGTTCCTAGAGGGGCTCCTGGGTGGCTCAGTCGGTTAAGCGTCCGACTTCGGCTCAGGTCATGATCCCGCGGTTCGTGATTTTGAGCCCCATATCCGGCTCTGTGCTGACAGCTCAGAGCCCGGAGCCTGCTTTAAATTCTGTGTCTCCCTCTCTCGGCCCCTCTCCCGCTCACACTCTCTCTCTCTCAAAAATAAACAACCATTAAAAAAAAAAAAAAGTTCCTAGAGCAGAGCCAGAGCCAGGACCATCTTTGAAGACACAAATAGTAATATTTTGTGTCCTCTGTTGGGAAAATCTGCTGCAGACCACTTAGTGGGAGAATCGCAGGCTCTGAATTCCAACCCCAACCAATACAAGCTTCAAGTCAGAATAAACGTAGGCAATAGTTACCAGCAAGTATACTTCAAAATAGCTTCTGTCCCACAATTAAGACTGTCCGTTCTTTCCCAGTAAGACGTTAATAAAAAGCAAATCAATGGGATCTACTGAGATAAAGAACGCTCAGGCCATCCTTAAGCAATCACCTGAGTTCAGCACCTACTCACTCACAAGGTACAGTCAGCGTAACATTCTAAATTTAAAATAAAGCTTTCAAACTTGATACTTGAAATTTCATATTCTACACTGGCAGGCTGAATCAGATATTTCTATATCCAACCATTATCTCTAAATTTTCCTCCATGATCACATAACACATAAGCATTCAAATGAAAATGAATCTTCTCTCCCAGATATATCCCCTCCCTACATCTCATGTTTTCAATCCCTCTTCGTCCCTTTTTCTCATCACGTCTATTCCTTAGTCCAGAAGACTGCACCCATTTCTGCTGAGAGTATACTGAGGAGTGGAGCTGCGGGGTCACAGGGGTGTGCATTGATGTTTGGCTCTACTTGATAATCTAACAGTTTTCAAAACTGATCAATTCTCATACCCACTAGCAATGATGAGAGTGCCAACTGCCCTACATGCTCTTACTCATTTTAAATAACTTTTCCATTTCTGCCCATTATGATCAATACTTTTTGCATCTTATTTTAAAAACCCGCTTACTACTGGTTCTGAAAATTTTGTTTCCATTTTCTGTTTTTGTCTTTCTCATTTAGGCCTAAAGTCCATCTGGTATCAATTTATTGCTACATCTGAGGCAGGAGCTATATTATCCATACAAACTGCCAATTGACCCAGCATTTTTGGAAAGATGATCATTTTCCCACTACACTATGATGTAATCTTTGTCATAAATCAGGTCATTGAATGTATAAAAAGTGGGGGGTTATTTTGGGCTTCTCCATTTCACTAGACTGTTCATCCTTTCATTAATACCACACTTGGTGAATGGCAGCTTTGTAAGTGTTGGTATTTAATAGTATTAAGTTTTCTTGCTTTGTCGTTCTTTAATGATTGTCTTTAAGTATCTTGACTCTTCTGACTTTCCACATAAAGTTTAGAATAAGCCTATTAATATCAACAGCAACACATACTGGCAGGGATTTTTTTTAAAAACTGGAATTATATTTAATTATTTTGGAGAAAAACTGACATTTTATAATATTCAGCCTTCCAACTCTTAAACTTGGTATATCTACTCATTGAGGGCTTTAATTTTACTCCACAATATTTCATAGTTTTCAATGTGTATATTGCATATTTTATTTATCCCAAAATCAAGTACTTGATTTTTTTTGATACTTAGTAGGACTTCTTAAAAATTTCATGTTCTGGTTTTTAGTCATTGGTAAACAAATACACTCATTTCTGAATACTTCTTATCCAGCAACCCTAGACTACATAGTACTTAACTTGTTACTTTATTAATTCTAAATTTGTGGATTATTTTGGACTTTCTATATACTTAATACTGTCTTGTACAGCAAAGTTTTATTTCTTCCTTTCCAACCCTTGTAACTTTCACTTCTTTTTCTTCCCTTATTATTCAAGAATGGTGGATAGCAGATATCCTTGTCTCATCTTCACCCTTAAGGGTAAAGCTATCAATAATTCACCAGTAGGAATGATGCTTGGTGTTCTGTGTACATGCTCCTAATTGCTACTATGCCCTTCCATTAATCGTTTTGTAAGTGTCCCTTTTTTTTTTCTAAATTACAAATTTGTGTTGTGATTTATCAAGTACTTTTTCTTAGCTATGAAAATAACCTCTGAGGGGCGCCTGGGTGGCGCAGTCGGTTAAGCGTCCGACTTCAGCCAGGTCATGATCTCGCGGTCCGTGAGTTCGAGCCCCACGTCGGGCTCTGGGCTGATGTCTCGGAGCCTGGAGCCTGTTTCCGATTGTCTCCCTCTCTCTCTGCCCCTCCCCCGTTCATGCTCTGTCTCTCTCTGTCCCAAAAATAAATAAACATTGGGGAAAAAAAAAAAAAAAAGAAAATAACCTCTGAGAGTTTTCTTTTCTCACATCAATGTGAACTGCATTGATTTTGGAATATTAAAACTACCCATGTCATCTTGGAATATACTCCAACTGGTTTTAATGTATTAATTTTTCTTTTTATATATATCACTGGATGGTATTTGCTATTATTTTAATTAAGATTTTTATATCTTGATAATGAGAGGAATCAACATAAATTTCCCTTCTTGTAATATATTCATGAGTTGACTAACAAAGTTATGTGCCCTCATAGTATGTCGTAAGTTTTCTAAAAATTGATTCAATTTCAAAGGAATGTACCCGATTCATCTAAGATGGTGAGTAATTGTTCTTTTATTCTTCTGATGTTTTTGTGTCCATAGATCTGTAGTCATGTCCTCCTTTTCATTTCTGATAGTGATGATTGCTATTTTCTCTTTTTTTCCCTTTTATTGCCAGATGCTTATAGATTTTACTACTCTTATCAAAGAACAAACTTTGAGCTTTTTGATTTTTTCTGTTATGAACTTGTCTCTCAGCTTCAAATCCAGTCTTCTTTGCTCAGATTTCTGATTCTAAAACTTGATGGTGTCGGGGCGCCTGGGTGGTGCAGTCGGTTAAGCGTTCGACTTCAGCCAGGTCACGATCTCGCGGTCTGTGAGTTCGAGCCCCGCGTCGGGCTCTGGGCTGATGGCTCAGAGCCTGGAGCCTGCTTCAGATTCTGTGTCTCCCTCTCTCTCTGCCCCTCCCCCGTTCATGCTCTGTCTCTCTCTGTCCCAAAAATAAATAAAAAACGTTGAAAAAAAAATAAAATAAAATAAAACTTGATGGTGTAAATATTTATCCTTCGGCAGCCTGCAAAATGTTAAACTGGATTAACAGGGCAATGAACTTGCTATATGATGATAGCAGGACACATGTCCTTCATGTTCTGGTATGCGGTGTTATTGTTTGACTAGAGTCCAGTGGCCCCCCAGAGGGGCTCTAAGCTGTGTTCTCTAGCTATGCTCTGCCCCCAGCAGCCCACGACCTCCAGCAACAAAGACCAGTTCCAGTGTGCCCACATCCTTGGGCAAAGACAGGTCTCCTCTACAGAACAGCTCCAGCACACCCACACCCTCTGGCAACAGTGGACCACATCTACAGACCAGCGCTGGCCAGGCCTTCTATCAAGTTTCTTACCATGGCAGGTAGCTTGTTCCTGTGTTTGTCTGAATCTCTGCTGGGGGCGGGGGGGGGGGGGGCCGGTCCTAGTTCCTTTATTGTCTATTCTTTTCTTTTTAAAAAAAATTTTTTTTTAATGTTTTTATTTATTTTTGAGACAGAGAGACAGAGCATGAGTGGGGAAGGGGCAGAGAGAAAGGGAGACACAGAATCTGAAGCAGGCTCCAGGCTCTGAGCTGTCAGCACAGAGCCCGACGCGGGGCTTGAACTCACAGACTGTAAGATCGTGACCTGAGCTGAAGTCGGACGCTTAACCAACTGAGCCACCCAGGCGCCCCGTGTCTATTCTTTTCTAACCACGAGGTAATCGTCTTTCACATCTGCTAGTTCTGGATACCTGTTGTCCTCTTTTACCCCTTCTGGTAATCACCCTCTACTATCTTAGTTAATAATCCTTAAATTATCCTCATTAAAAAAAAACAGGAGTAGGATCTGCCTCAGGAGTGAATTCTGAATGTGTATTGATTTTCTATATGTGTGTTTCCTAATTCACTGATTTTGCTCTCACCTTTATTATTTTCTTCCTTCCACTTTCTGTTTTATTTCTGTTGTATTTATTTGAATAAAGGGCCTGTTGCATTATCTTTATCACAAATGTTCCTATGTTTACATTCTATTTCGTTATATATGCTCAATAGGAAAACTGTGCTTCCTAAAGTTATAAGTCCCATTGATGGTCATATTCATCCTATGGCTTCTAACCACTCTTAAAAGATAAGAGTATTTCTGTCTAAGGCTCATAGGACAAAATTACCTTACAGTTCCCAACTAATAAGCACAAAGTGTCAGGACATTACATAATAAATGCTGACACCAAGAAAGCAAGCACACCCTCTATATTTTCCACAAAGCTCAGAAATACTTCATCAATAAAGATAGGAGAGAATGTATTCCTACTTGTGATGGAGTACAATACAATTCCTAGGATGGGAGAAGATGGTTAAATGTGTGTTCTATCCATGCCTCTCACCTACCAATTTCCTTAAAGTTCTATGCTATAAAAACATCCACAAGACAGAAAAAAAAAATTTCAGCTAAGGAAAAGTTATGACAGTATTTCTAAAACTGTAAAAAACCAGTAACTTAAATAGGTAACATACCTGTACTCATTAGTATAGTCAAAATCTTGTTTATTATGAGTTGGCTTTAGGAAATTACACTCTATAATTCCCACCACTCCAACACCCATGTTGTTTGCCTGAAAAAGAAAATAAAATCAGTGTTTTAAGCATAAGACATGATACTCAACATGATTACCCTTCCATAAGGATTTACAATTTGTACGAAACATTTTTCTACATTTTATGTCATGATTCTTAGAAAATTTCAATTGAAAAGTAGTGTCTCGTAGATAATTTTACTTTTCTAGAAGTTAATTCCCAAATATATTAGAGCCTTCCTCCAAAACACTTTCACTGTTGTCAAATATCCATTTAGACAAGTATTACCCCCGATTTTATCCAAGAGAAACAGACCACCTCTACTGGGATGTATTTCTTACATAGCAGAAACCACAACTAACTCCTTTCTATATCCACAAAGACTAGCAAAGACTCTAGCAATAATATGCCAAAAGTTTACTAGATAAAAATTAAAATCATTTATCCAAAGTTACACATCTAGTTGTTAATGGTGATGGAATAAAAACCTAGGTCAGTTGAAGTCAAGTTATTTTAAAAATGCTACTAGCTAAAATATTGAACTCAAAGTATATGAGTCACATATTCTGACTACCTATGTGTGATCAGCAAGTGTATTTTACTCACAATTGTAGCAGAGTCTACAAAAGGAAAAAGTGGAAGAATATATAACTTACGTAGCGAAAATGTTCATAAACAGAGCAACTATAGAAGAAACCATGCAAAGCTAACCATAATCCCACTCTACCAAAACCATCAGTGGTTTGTCTCATTCGATCAGTAAACCACAACAGCCTTCAATGTGTGGGTCCTGTTTGCCTCCTTTCGAGCCTCATCTTCTTGCCTCTCTCCCATTATTCTCGCGATTTAACATCTGCCCCCAGGCAGAGCAAACTACTCCCTTACTGAGGTCTTGTTCTCAGAAGCCTCTTTCCCTTCCTGGGCAGATATTTTTCTCTGCCTGGGAAACCCTTGCCAGACTTTCAACACAATAACATCAACTAAGACTCCATCACCATGCTCTCCAAAAAGCTTCTTCTGATGCTTCCGACTTGTACTACAGTCCCCTCACCAGAAAGAGCTCTGAGAGCATGCTCTGTACCTTATCATCTTTTTATTCTGATCATCTAGCATGGCAAATCCTATCAAATATCTGACACCTATTTAAAAACTGTTTATTGAGTTCAAAGAATGCAAATACTGTAAGGCAAATCCATCACCTGGTAGAGAAAAATAAAAGTTGGCTGTAAAAGCCTATTTTTTACCAGGTCAAGCTTAACCAGAAATTATACACAATGCAAACATAATTGGGTTGGAAAAATGAGCTGTGTACCTTACTTTGGTCATTTCATCAATGATAAAAGAAAAAAATAACATTCTGTCACAGATACACAGTTTCTTTTGAAAACCAAAGCACCTGAGAAATAAGGCTTATTACCAAAAATGAATTTCCAATTACCAGTGAAATTTAGTGACTTTAATTATAGAATACTTCCGTTGAAAATTACTAGTTGGATTATAAATGAAAATTAGTTTTTTAAATGTGATTGATACTGCATATCATCGTTGCCATATTTCTGTATTTATTTATTTTTTAATGTTTTATTTCTTTGAGAATGAGACAGCATGAGCTGGGGGAGGGGTGGGGGGGGCGTGGAGAGAGAGAGAATTCCAAGCAGGCTCCAACACAGAGCCCAACAAGGGGCTCAATCCCATGAACCATGAGATCATGACCTGAACCAAAACCAAGAGTTGGATGCTTAACTGACTGAGCCTCCCAGGTGCCCCTCTACATTTATTTTTTGACTGAAATTAGTGGTTACCAAGAAGAGCCCAACAAAGTTTATTTACTTTTGCAAAAATGCTATATTCGGGACTTGTGTCGATGTAAAACATGTAACAGAGTTACAACCCTTACTACATAATATTGAAGATAAACCCACACTATTATACTGTGTAGAGCTCACATCATTCTACAAAGAATTTAGAATGAAATAAGATGAACAGAAAATGAAAACCATTGAACTGGAAAACAAAATATGCCTAGACATAAAACCTTTAACAAACTTAATTTTCAGCACTTATCACTCAATTCTTAACACATACACCCCCAAAAAACCTTTCTGTGAAAACATGTTTAAGGATGAACAAACAAGCATAGTGTGGGTAATGTTCATCAACCTAACTTGAATTCTACAACCACGGAAGTGGTTTAGGAGGAAGGCCTAATATATTTAGGAATTAACTCCAGAGAAGTACTCACCTATATGATCCTGTTTTTCTGGCTATTGAGTCAGGACTAAATAAAACCAATTTCATCCCAGAAATAATCACGGATCCATATCCAGATGCAGTCAAAAGATCTGCATCCGGGCCTAAGATCCATACTCATTTTAGGTCTGGGCAAGTTATCTAACTTATTGGCCCCAATTTCCTCAACTGTAAAACAGAGATAAAATATTCTGTCCCCCTCATACGATTATTTGGACCAAATGGGAAATACAAAAGTATTTTAAGTTCAAGTGCCATACCAATATCATTAAACACACTGACACTTAAAAGTTATTACACAAAGCATGTTATTTCACATTTGACCCAGTAACATGGTATTTTAACTTTACAAAAGATATTTTCAGATCTACAGCTTACCCTTAACTGACATCCAACTTTTTCATAAGCTTTGATGAGTCTATTTCTGTGATACATCATGATCCCATAATGGTCTTTATTTCTGCAGTTGAATCCAAATGTAATTCTCACTGTTTTAGTCTTAAATGTTAAGGAAAATTCTGAACATGCCACCTCACTTCCTTCAAATCATCCTTTCTTAGTCATTTTTTAATGAATCCCAAAGTGCATAAAAAAGGGCACAGTTGGAGAGGACTCCATACCAGAATAAAAGGAGAAAGGGGGAAGAGGAATACACTTTATTAATGTGTCTTTATATGGCGTCATAAAAAGGAAGATAAAGGATACTAAAAACTTGGGTCGATAAACATCACGTTCAATGTAGGCAAGACTCTTTGAAACCAGCTGTGTCTTCACCTTCTGTCCACGTAATATTATCTGCATTCTTGGCTTTAGATACAATATACTGCAGTAAGCCTGAAAAGACACAAATAATATCTGTCTTTTCCAAATAATTACCCACAAATGTGTTCAACTTTACTGATATATGTACTTAGGAAGAAAGCTATGACCTCGCTTTGATAAAGGACCCATG